AGCCAGACACCTAAGGGCCACTCCACTCACATGAGGTATTTAGGATGGTCAGAGGCATAGAGACAGAAGGTAGGTGGTGGTTAGCAGGGGCTGGGGCGGGGTGGGCGCGCACGAGTGAGGACGGGGATCTAGTGTTTAATGGATATGGTGTCAGTTTGGGAAGATGAGTTGTGGACATGGATGGTGGCAATGTGCAGTGTGAGTGTACTGAATGCCACTTAAAAATGGTTCAAATGGTAAATTTTGTTTATTTTGTTTTTTGGGGGGTTTTAAAAAGTCTACCCCTAAAGTACGTACACACAGATCTGAGAACCACTCCCGGCAGTAGGGCAGGGAACTATTGAACAAAGGCAAAAAGTGCCAACTGCCTCCCATGTGCCACACCAAGGTACAGAAGCTGGGGTATGCCAGAGGTCCCCAGGGCCAGCACCCTCCCTTCACAGGGATGCCATCGTTGGGGCTGAGGGTCCAGGGCAGTGCCAGGAGAGAGATCATAGGACATTCATCCGGGAAACTGAGCCCTGAAGTTTGCAGAGGTCATTGGAGCTTACCCAGATGACATTTGGGGAGCTGTGCCAGGGGTCATCCTGGGCCTAATTCTTTAGTTTGGTGTGTATGTATGGGGAGTGCAGGTGAGTGGGAATGACTCCGAGTCAACAAGTTATGAGGCTGCTCTTTGCTGTATTTTATTTTCTTAGACAAATTTCCTTGTTCAGGGCTGGCTGCTTTAAAAAGCAGCATCCTGTAGGGGACCATTGACCCTACATCGTCCTCTGACAGGCCAGGAGTCCATGGAAACCTCACCTCTTGCCTGGAGCACATTGGTCAGATTGTAAGGCCAACTGTGTGGGTAACAAGCAAAGTGGCAGTAGCTGGTTTCAAGCAGAGGCAAGAGACTCTGCGAATAAGGGACAGCAGAATGGCCACTGATTGGAGAGATAGCAGGAAGGAAGAAGGAAGGGATAGTGGGATAGAGCCATGGGGAAGGACCCCCTATAGATGCTCTGCCTGGAACCCTGTGGGGCACCTTGCTCTGACTTGCTTTGCCCTGAGCGCTCAAGTCCTGGGCCTCCCACAGTGTGGGAGTGGCATAATTCACTTCTTCTCAGTGGCCCAAAGAAGCTGGGGGTGTGCCTCCTCTCCTTTCCTCATGCTGGTCCTGCAGCCATTCCCTACCACCCAAAAAAACTTCCCAAGACACCCATTCTGTCCACAGAATCTACAAGTGACCAAGAGAAGAGCCCGCTGTTAGGCCTCATTGTGTCATTTGAGGTTGTATTATGTCACGGGTTACATGATATTTGCATATTTTCTAAGCACCAAGCAGGCACTGAAACAGAACTTGGGAGTACAATAGGGATGCCATGACCCTCTGGTTGACCAGTGGTCTCTTTGCTAGTTATTGCATGCAATGTTAGACGCTATGAAGTGCAAATACTATCTGGTCTTGGCCAAGAGCTGTTGAGGCCTATTGCTGAAGGAGTCTAGAAATGGGGCCGTAAGGTCAATATCACACCCTCCATCCAAAGGGGCTATTAATTTCATCTACTACAGGTAACAGCTGGTGTCCTTAGTTTGACCAGCCAAATTGTAGCTCAGACTCCAAGTAGTTACATGCTAATAGAATGACGCTCTTAGAAGATTTATTCCCAGCTTCTGCCTTTCCAGTGTGCTAAGTGTGCAAAGGACATTTACTGCTGCACATGACTCTCTTACTCACAGCATAATTGAAGCTTTCATTTGAGTTGAACATATAGCCACATAATTCCTTAAGTGGAATTAGGTATAAAATCCATTGTCTTTTCAAAGAATGTTTAATTAAGTGACATAACAAAAAACTTTGTTCTGCAGCATTCACTGATGAGACAAGCAGACCTGTGCATGTGACCTGAAAGTCCAGCCTCTCTCTACCTCCAGGTTCAGCATCTTTAATATCTAATGCTGTTTCAAGGAAAATAAATCTTAAGGTTCATATTAAATAAAATTCCAATTCTTTATGTCACATTTTATGCACACCAAGCTTTTTCTCCCCCGGCCGGAGAATACATCTCTTCTAACTGCACAGTGACTTCTTTTGCCTACTTCTGTCTCGTTGGTTTCATGCTTACCCAATTAGTCTCATTTCACCTTGTAAAAGGACACCAGCTGTGCCTTATCCTTGCACAAAGCCATCCCTGATCAGGGTGCCTAATTTCATCCAATTCTTGCAATTATTCACATTCTGTGGATGTACCCAGGTGTCTCCAGGCAATAGATGTATTTTTAAATACAGCTAATGAGCATAATGCATGGGGTCCAGAAAGCACAATGTACCCAACATCTGCACAGAGCACGACAGGGAAGAGACGATTGTAACCTGCAAGATACTTCCTAAGATCCATGGGCTCTAAACCAGTAAGCTGTGGAGAGTTTCAAACTACATTGGAGCAACATGGTCTCATGGAGAGATTTCAAATTACTATCCTATGTTACAGTTTTCCTTGTTCCACACTCACCTTTTGAGTATCTGGCTCTTTGCTCACTTGAAATCATTGGGACCATCACATTCACCAGAAGGCACAGAATGGGAACACCTAATGCCATGTGGTCTTCTCCTCCATTTCTTGATCTAAAATCCACGATGTGAAGATATCTCAGTGCTACAGAGGATGTTTTCTCCTTTTTGGGGAGGTCACAGAGAAGGCTGGCCACATGTGCAGGAGCGTTATCTGCAGAGGAACTCGGAGAATGTGAGGAATGAAAAGGAACGGACTTCATTTGTCACAGGCTCTCGGTAAGTTGTAATTTGTAGAGCAGGGCATTCAGACTCCTTTGTTCCATTAAAAGTGGGGCTTTTCTGGAAGTCTGATAGAAAACCAAGCAAAACCAAAATGAAACGTGGTTTCCTTTTCTGCAGAGGATTAGCAGAAATTGAGTTAGTCATCTTGTTAAAGCTGTCATGTAAGCAAAATGGGCAGTTAGGGGGGCACTTTTCCAAATCATAATTGTGTATGAAAGCGTAACTCTTAACCCTAATTTACTATGTCATTTTCCAAAAGAATGGGATAAGGAACGCTAAAGCAATGACTTTGGATTGGTGTAAATACAGCGTTCAAGATTTTTACTAGCATGGAGGAATTATTTTATAAAAGCAGTTTTAACGTGATCGCTTTAGCTGACTTTCTAGTGTGACAAACCATCTTTCTTCAGAGTGCATACATGTATTATTGTTCAGTAGAAAACGTTCTGGAACAGCTGCTTGCTGCCAGCCGTTCTGCATGGAGTTATTTGCTGATACTAGTCCCATTATGAAATGAATTTCACTGCAGCATCCCAGACAAAGTACA